TTTAAAAATTTTAACATTTGTTCTGAAAGGTGATTTTCAATATCAACAAATCAATGTGACTGTTTTGTACCATATAACAATGGATTTTTAATAGATTTCATCCAAAAAACCAATTAAATTGTTATTTTTTAATATGTATCTTATTTTTATTGACAATATTGAAAATTGATATTTTGCCTGTGATTCCTTATAGATGGTCAATAAAGCCTTAAATTGTTATTGAAACAAATTTTTCTCTATTCATTATAAATACCTAATTAGAGTAGGAATAAAATTGCCTCGTAATATATCCAAGTACATGATTAGAAAAATAATTAATAACTGTCGGATGTTTGAACAATAAGAATGTGTTTATTGTCGATTCTGGATAAATTAATCACGCATAACAAACATAATTTTAACTTAATTTTAGAAAAAAGAAAACAGTCTTTTGTAAAATAATCTGTATGTTGTTGGTTCGACTCGTTGATGTAAGGAGACAAGAATCAATTAGATAATTATTTGATCGATTAATTTCATCGCCGTCTGACTTTAAATTACTATACAGGATAGAGAGCCAACGACATCGAGCTTCCTCCCATGAATTTAATTGTCACTAAACTGTTAACGAAAATATTGAAAAAGCAAAAAGATACAAATTACAAAGTGCGAAAGTCAACTCCTTCTCGATAATTGCGAGGGTTTTTCAACTATATAAGGACGATGGTTTCAAGTCAATCAGCATCAGTTTCCAGTCATTCACTGGAGTAAACAAATCAACTTACTTGAGTTTTGAATATTTATTTTGTGATCACCAGTTACATCAAAACAGCCAGCCATGAGGACTCTTGTCTTGTTACTTTTGGTTGCCGTTGTAGCTATCGCCTTAATTCAAGTCACCCAAGGAGACCACTGGGGTAGGCAATCCAATACAATGACTGATCCTAGTTAAACTGATTTCACCATTTGATGAACAACAAAGCTTCTTGATCATAGATCACAGTGTGGTTACAAGTGATTGTTTATTTGTTGAAAAACAATAAACAAAATATACCATTATGGATTAAAACAATTCGTGATTTGTGATTAGGAGTAATAACTCTTACCGTTGTAGATTAATTTGAAATCAAGTTTTACTTTGATCATTTGGAAACCTAACCAAAAGTGTCGTCTGATACTTTTGGCGGTTTCTTTTCTCTCTTTCTTTTTTAACCGCTTTTTTCTTGTTTACTCGTTGATTTATAATAGGTAAGAAAAAGGTTCAACATTTATGGCATCACCATCGTCACGATCATCATCATCACCATCACCACAAGCATAAGCAAGATCACAAACACGGTCATTGGCATGATCACAAGGTAAGGGAAAACACTCAAACTATGTATCAACAAATCCAAAACAATAACAGAACGAAGAGAGCCTTTCATATTTGACTCTCATAGTGTTATTGTTACTCATTGGATTTATTGACACTATTTGGTGTCAGATTTCTCCTCATACCTTTGCTAAAAATCAGTTTCTAATCGTTCTGATTTCCATTTCTTTAGCACAAGCACAAGGCTGACAATGAACACAAACACGGACATTGGCATGATCATGGACACAAACACAAGGTAATCACATCTCACCTCGCTTGCATTTACTCAATACTAACCAATTTATCTTGTTTATTTACAGCACGGACACAAGCACGAACACTGGAATGACCACAAGCACAAGGTAAGAAATTATTTGACTTGTTTTTTTCCTTTAACCCAAAAACTAATGTCTATTTTTATTTTAAACTCAGCATGGACACAAACACGAGCATTGGGGTAACCACGATTACAAACACAAGCATGAACACAAGCACGAAGACAAATGGGACGGTTGGCATGGAAAGGCCTAAATGATCTCACCTCTCCGGACCTTGGTTAATATCTGATTAACGATTAATCAAACAAAGCCACTTTGAATTTCATCAATTGAACATTTCAAAATGGTTGACACAACACTTTATACTCTTGCAATAACTCATAGTCTATTCATCTACATCTCATCTCTTCAAAAAATTCATCAGCTACTTATACATTTCACCAAGATATTTCAAAAGACAAAAAATATCAATCAAAATCTGTTAATATTCCCATAAATCCCTTTCAATATACTTGTTAACCTAACAATTATATTAAATTCTGTAGTCAAATTTTCAAATTAATCTGACATCTTTTGTCACCATGAAACCCATGCAATTTTATCATTCACCATAAGTGACTGAAAAATTGTGTTAAATTGTGTGGGAATCGCATAACATGAAAAATTGTTAAAAAAAAGTATTAGAAACCGATTAAATTGTTAAAATAATAAATTGTTTTATTATCAAAATTGCACTTTCAATTAATTTCAATAACAACCATTAACCTCATTGTTTCAACCGAATTCAAGATTTGAACCTATTTCATGATTAGGTCAAATATTAATTGTCAATATAAATTGTCATTGATTGATTTTGTAAGTACCGTCAGAAATACAATAATCAAGCCACAATAACTAATCAGCCAAAAGTCTGAGCAAGTCCATACTCTTCAGAGTTTCTCAATTGAAATGTTAAAAAATTACAATAAAATGTTAAATTGATTGGATTCCGGTAAAGTAAAGAAGAGTACTTTTACCAATATTACCTTAACATTTACTAACGGTTTGTAATTGCGCAGGACAACGTATTGACAATAAGCTAAAATGCTTTGATCCAATCTAACTTGATTGAATTACAAACTAAACTAAATTAATCTATTCTAATGCAAGAAAAACTCAGAATCTATTGTAGACCAGCAAACTTGGAAATTCAACTGAATCTAATTTACTCTTATCAAAAGCTTTTGTAAGCATCAAACTGTGAAAAGTCTTTATTGGGTAAAAGCATTAGGGATTGTCCTGCGTCTTTTAATGTCCACTGCACAATCAAC